CTCAGTGCACTTCTTTCCAAACTCTAAACACTCTGATGTACTTAAAGCTATCACGATGCGTTAAAAGCTGTGACCTGGAAGGTTACAAACTGACTGGATTACTCGGACCACACAGTCAATCCAGTGTGTGTCTTGCTGTGTGGAGTGGCTAACCGGCGGACCGAATGTCAGGCTGCAATCGTCCTTATTAATATAGCCTGTTGGTACGCGTGTTGCGTATGGGCCGCGCCAGCCTCCTGCGTCCTCCCCCATTTCCGGTCTTGTCGACCTTTGTCTTGACACTGGTTACAGGCAAAATAGTGGGGAAATTCTGCGTGAGTCTACTTTCCAGCATGAGTCACCGCGTTCGCCTCAGTTTGCCTCAAGCTCGTGGTGGACATCGTCAAGAACAACGGTCGAAATGCCGTGTGTCGGGACCGTTGCTATTGCTATTTCCCACAGTGTGTATGCGTGTATGTGAACATTACTACAACGCGTATGTCCGTGTTTGAGATCCTCTTAATAACACAAAAAACACACTTGATGCTCAGTGGAGGTCTGGCCGAATAAACCCAGTTAGCACTCGTCTGTAAACTTCAACTCACTAGGCAAATTGACCAATCGGGTGTCGAACTAAGAAATACATGGCAGGTCACATGACGAGTACCCACCACGCGTTGTACTTTGAGTTTTTTTTATCTATCAACCAAATCTCAGGTAATCAAGTCCAACCACAGAGATCTGCTACATGACTGAGTACTGGTTGAGGCATAGTGCAGTCCCGAGAGGACAATGTCTTCGTTACGCCCGTGGTTTTTTGCGATCAAGGAAGAACATGATTATGCAGTCAGGCTTGTCCACGCTGCCTGCGATTATGCTAATTCCTCCACTAAAATACATGCAACGTGCAATGAGATTACAAAAACACAGATACGCAGCCATTAACTAGGGCAGCACAGATCTGTACGTCACGGGCAAAAAATTTCAGAAGACTGTGATCTGGATCCCGAATGGAAACGGAGCGAACGTGTGCTGGCGAAGCTAGGGGATTCCTCCTGGTCTCCACCTAAATTATGCATGTTCCTTAATTAAGTACTCAACTTTGAACTTGAGGCTGAAAGTCACTGCTGTTACTTTAACTTTCTTATGGGCAAATGTACGACCCGCGCTTGCGAATGCAGGTTTTTTTGTCCGAAATCGGGCCTGGGAACTCGACCAATTCATCTATTGCACAAAATTATCCCCTTGTTGAGCACAGTATAAATAGTTGTGATTTGACGTAGGCTTTGCACACAGAATTTCCCTTTATGCCAAGAGTTAATTCCAGCATAAATATCGAAATTACCAAAAGCCATTTCCAAAAGAAGAAGTTGTGTTGAAGGCTATATAGTCAGAGTAGTTAATCAGTTCAAAATATCCTTATTACTCTGATGAACAAATTATGCTATTTTAAATGGCCCTTTTCCGGTTATACGTGTGAAAAATGGCAGGGTAAAACTATGTTTTCGAGAGTAAAACTCCCTAAATTAAAAAAAA